ATAAGTGGGGTAAAACTATGGAATAATTTAAGTGCGGACATAAAAAATAGTAATAGAATTGACGAGTTTAAACATAAATATAAAGGTTTGTGTCAATCAAGATATATGCAAGAACAGGCTTAATGATTAATTAGATGGAACATTGTGGGTGTGGTGTATGAATGTTAACACTTTGGAATAATTCTTTAGAATTTAATTTAGAATTATTTACTGCTTGCAAACAAGATAATGTCATGGGGTAGGACTGGATAAGTCTGACTTCTTCCTACTCCATTCAAGCATGTACTAGGTATAAGCAAATTGTTATTGGATTAGCATTTGTTGGATATGTGTAAAATTATGTGTGTTGTCATATCAACTGTCTTTACATGCTTGAAAGAATAAATCAAATCAAATCAAATCAAAGTATGTGCTGTTTGGTTCAATAACAACATGAGTTAAAACTAATGTAATATTATACATTAAATGAACACTTATTACATTGCTGAAACTGTATTTTTGTTGTGCATCTTTAGACCAACCATCTTTACTGGTTTATTAATCAACACATTTCCCTGTGGTTTTTCTGTGTAGCAATAAAAATGTAGACTATTAGAATTCGACCACTGGCTGTGAGTGTATGCAGGTGTGGATTTCCAAATCAGAAAGATTTATGGCATCTTGGTGTGGATATTTATCACCTGCAGGGGGTGTTGTCAGTGCTGACCTGCACATGCCTATTACCAACCTATTTTTAGAACAGAAGGAAATCTGCCCTCTATGTATGCACAATTGGCTCTGCTGGGGGTCCATCTGTTTTCCCAGAAGTCAAAAAGAACCACAACTCTTTCTCAAGCCTGAGTCAGCAGGCATAACAAAGCATGCAGATATCCTGAACACGATGTGCAGCTCCCCTCCGAGCAGCTTTGATTCCTTATCTGTCTTTGTCTACTGCTGGTTGCCCTCCCCTTCATGTACAAAACAGGAAAACATTGTCGTACCAGTGGAGAAGAAACTGCCAAATGTAGATGGAAGCAAATGGTCTTACTCATCCAACCTTACATCATCACTCACACTTCCCTCCTATTCCCTTTGAACTCCAAATGCTGTAACACCTAACAAAGTACTTAAAGTATTTTGCGCATTGAATACCTCAAATAAACTATGTGGCATGCACACACAGTGATAACAGGGTTTACCGACAGCCATCATGTAGTCCCAGCGGTCCAGCAGGCACATACTGAACTGCAGTCCGTCAGGCGTGTAGCCCACATCTATGAGAGCCAACTTCCTGTCTGTGTTCTGACACACAGCAGATGTCCAAGCCACCAGGAACCAGCAAACAATAAGCATGATGATGCCCAGTAAACGAAGCACTCGCCAGCTGGTCATATAGGGAATCCTCTGGGCTGTTCGGGACAGGAACACCTTGAGCACCCTGTGCAAGGGGAAGAGAAACTTGCACTGAGAATCCTAAAAAATAAACATGTGAGCGATAAGGTCTGAAAACTGCCATGACAACAGTTTCAAATCTTAACCAGCCATTTTAGTTATAAATGTACTGTTTTGCAAAACAAACATACTGTATCAGAAAATGATCATGGATCATGGAGCTGCTATTAAAAAGTTGTTTTTGCATAGCTGAAAATGCAAACATTGTCATATGACATCACAAAGTTCAGTTTTAATCAGTTAGCTCAAATGCATCACAGTGTACAGCGGTTACTCTTTACGCCTCTGTGTGACATAGCTTTAAATTCAGACAGACAAAATGAGTGTGTAACAGGAATTAAATGCCTCTCAAACATATGACCAGCCGGCGCTATTCTTAGGCTCTGCCCTTCACACACATTGATAAAGTGTCCACTGCACTCCCCACTAATGAGACCCCCATCAAAAATTGATCTGTGCAATATGTTAACTTGGGCCTCTAAGGGTTTTCTCAGCTCTCGCTCGCATTAGCCACATCCCCTTAATCAGTATCTTCATTAGGCCTTTTTGACAGATTCGCCTGACACAAAGACCCACAGATGAACAATTTCAAATGCATTACTTTAAATACAACAGAACTTCTGTTTCATTATTGGCTACTCAGTGCTGGATAACCCCCCTTTCACCCTCACTCTATCCTCCAGCCGCCCTTTTTCTTCCTCTGCTCCCACACACAGTCTCTTGGTTTGTCTCTTGCCAACCATAATTCAATACCACATTATATATGGAGATCATTTGGGGCCAAAGCACCCCATGTTTTCTTAATTACTTGTACTTGGCAATTCTCTACTCTACTTAATAAGGCAGTGAATCCACCTCTAAAAATGTACAGCAGTGTAGTCCACTGAGAAACATGCTGTCTCAACACTTTAGGCTCTTACTTTTACAAGGAATTAAGATGTAAGATGCAGTGTAACTGCACTTAAAGAAGTCATTGTAATTCAATAGGCATTTTGTAGGATGGATATTGATGTTGGACAAAAGAGTTTGTGTAGTCGTGTGCATATTACCTGTACAATTTTAGAGTCAGTGTCCCATAGACGGTAGCAAAACCCAGCAGTCGAACCCATCGCAGCAGGATGCAGCGAAAAACACTCGGCTGGAAATAAAGAATCCCGACCTGCAAGAAGCCAGAAGATGCCTGTAGGTTGTGCAGAAGATCTAGAAACACACTGTAATGGCGCCCGTTCAAGTCAACAAAACAACCACAATAACAAATAGATCTTCAAATACCATAAAAAGCAATAATTGAAAGGAATGAGTCAACATTATTATCTATCTGTTGCAGATGTGCAGTGATTTCCTCTGTGGGATTGCTAACGTTAATCGGATTAGACTAGCCATTAATTCATTCCCTCAGGCAGCAGCAAAAATGCAGACCATCTATATTTTTGCTCACTAGGTTTGAGTCAGTTAAGGCACACAGAGGAGCCCATGGGAGAATGGGTGGCCCACATCCTCATCCGCTCACAGACACTGGGCCATAAAACACAGAAACCTCTGACTTGAACTTGCTTCAGTTGACTCAGTTTTGTAAAGGTAATGTGATACAGAATAATTACTGAATAGACCAGTGCTCAGTGTTGTTAATCTTAAATGCATACAGGGTGTTTCACCCTCAATTTAACTCTTGGCAAGATGGAAGAGCCCCTAAAAACTATAATACCAGCCATCCATTGACACCAAAACTAAGCTTAACAAGTGAGGTTAAGGAAAATGTCTAAATAACAATCTGTGACTGCTTCTTCCCACACTCCTCCTTTTACAAATTACAGAGGCACAGAACCTGATAAAGAGAGCACCGGTGCTGAGCAACTGGCTGACGCACATTTGGGTCCACAGGGACAGAGGAGGGCACAGGAAGCTGAGTTAAAATGCACCAGGGGAAAATACAGCTCATGACTTCTTTTTAGATAAACTAAAAAATAGCTGCTGATTTCTATCGTATGTAATTTTAAGGCTGGTGCTGTTTGTGGTGAGATAGGGACTGGGGAAGTGTTATCAGCAGTAGTTCTCCTCCAAATTATGCAAATGAGTCATCATAAAAGGTTTTCAACAAATTTAGCAGTTGGAGTTTCTTCTTTAATGGTGCAATCTCACCTACTGCTCATTTCCATTGGTGAAAACCACAGTAGAAAAGCTCTAGATTTAGTTGTGCATGGTTCACATTTGCCAACAAACAAGTCACCCAGGCATCAATACAGCTGGTGATTACACAGAGTTTTGTAAGTTGACCTCAGCAATGTTTGTCAGCTAAACCACCCCCTGCTGTGACACACTGCTGCCTACAGATGTTACTCCAGCTTCAGCTACTTCAGCTCATATTCACATGACACATCACAGAAACCCTGTAACTGCTGAAGAGAAACATTTGCATCCATCACAATATGTCACTTCTAACAAACTGCACAACACTTGTTTAGAAAGAAATATTTCCACACAGTATCTATGTTGTGATTAGGTGCCACTTTCTTTAAACTCTGTCATCTTTCATAAAAAATAAACATACATGGGGTCACTGCAGCATAAAACACCAACTGAAGTTTCTGATGAGCTTTTATTTTTTGTCCATGATGAGCACTTTCATCATTTAAAAATGTCTTTTTTTTGTTTTGTTTGTCTTGTCAGTGCATCCGGACGCAAATGTTTCAGCGTTTTGTTCATCTTTAACTGTCAACTAGAATTACTGCTTCACAGTCGTATGCCTCCGCCAACCAGTCAGATTCACAGGAATAGGACAGGTGCGAGGTCACAGTGACTTTGACTTTTGACCACCAAAATCTAATCAGTAAATTTCTGAGCCCAAAGGTAAATCTCGGTTGCCTTATTTTATCGTTCCTCAGTCTTCGATCAACCTGGAAGTCGTTCCATTTAGCCATGATGAGGGAAACATGGATGTAAATAGTCACCACTAGTGGACGATTGTGCCAAATTTGCATCAATTCCCTCAAGGCGTTCCTGACCTATCTTGTCACAAGAATGGGCCTGCATGATGGAAGGACAACCCAAAAATGTAACGCATCTGGATCTTCTGGAAATGTCCTGAAAAGTGGTGAAGTGATTATGACAGACTCAAAATGAAAAGTTGCAACAGTAGGTCTTGGAAACATGGACACACAGCAACATTGAGGACATGGCTACTGTGCTGGATGTGTTAATGTGCCACTGAGCTGTCTGGGAATTGTTGCAATCCATGGACAAAGAATGGTGTATGAATGCTGTTGTTGTGTCCCGACACAGTTTATGATTGTGAAGTGAAGTGGCGGCCATGCTATGTATCCAGGAAGCTCAGTGCTGCTGTTGCAGCAGCAGCAGTATACCAGCACCCTGACAAAGACACTGTGAGAGTATCAGCATTTAACAAGCAGATGAATTTTCATCATCACTGGCAATCATGGAAATTCAAAAACTATGCTGAAATTCCTTCAGCATGCCAAGGATGCTATAAGAAGAAGATACTCTGGACCTTGTTAATGGCCAGCTTACTGCCGCTGATGTGAGAGCACTTACCACTATCACCAGTACCAGTTTTTGTTGTTTTGTTTTTTGCCCATCTCTTGTTTTGCACTTGTCCTTAACATATGGTCTAGTTTACCTACAT